TGCATACATAGCCATAATCCTTCCATAGCCATTTGATAGACTAAACCACCGATTAGCCAAATATATATGTATCCCATAAATGCTATGTTGGTTAACTCCTAAATAGGCCACGATGACAATAGAAAGATTAAGAAACTTTAGCCTTAGCATGATTGGGATCCATTAGCAAACACGAATAGTACATTTTGTTGCACATATTTGATTGTTGTTTGAATATTGGTTTTTCTCGCGTATTATAGACCTTGTGTATCGGTTAGTCGTGAGGCAACGTCTGCAATTTCCAGGAGGTGAAGGTTGATCAAGATTATATCAATAATAAGGATTATCCTGAGCAGGCAAGTCATCACTATTCCTTGAACATGTTGATCCCAATTGCGAAATTGTTTTGTTTACAAATAAAATTACATGCAATGATGAACATCCTACTTGTGATTATGCCATGCCTTGATTATTGTTTACCCTTAAATATTTGTAACCATGTTTACGTATGAGTCCCTAGTCAACTATGACAATTGCTTAGAAATGCTATTCTAGAATCATGCATACTCATATTTATCAAATGCTATATGCTTGGGCAATTACCTTTGGGAAGGTAATTGAGATGCGGCATGTGGAGACATGAGCGCCACATTGCCATAATGTTGATGACATGATTTGTGAAAGGAGAAATAAAATTAAACAACTGTTTTCGACTGGGGCGGACGGAGGATTTGGGTGGTATCTGGAAAAGGCTAGTACCGTCCCCGGTCAATTAAGGACCGAGCCATGAAGTTAAGCACGAAACGACCCCCGTACAACCGCACTTCTCGTATGGGTATAGGCCTAGCGGATTAGATAGCCGAGCGGAGGCAGTATCCCTGCATAGATGGTTCACCCTTGAGTGAGGCAGGTGTGCTACGGTGGGACAGCTGTTAAGGTAGGGCCGAGAGGCGTGCCCTACATCGGTGTCGCCATTGGTAGGACTGCCATGAGTGTGTGAGAGAGAGAGAACTTAACTTGAACCATAATTTAATATGTGTGAGACTTCTCTTTCCCGGGAGCACCAGAACTCCTCACACTGCTAGAAACATGGACGCCTAGAGTGCATGAGGATTTAAGTTCATGGAGCGGGTACTGCCAATGCGAGGTTATCGAAAAACTTTGCCGTGACGCGTCTCATGTGTTGGGACGAGGATCATGTGTTGGGCAGTCGCGGAGTGCGGGTAAAGTGTACATCCACTGCAGTGTGAGTAAACCAAATCTATTCGAATAGCCGTGCTCGCGGTTAACGAGCACCGGGACATGTATTACACTTGGCTAGACTCTAAATTCTTAACTTGTGTGGGATGGGATATTGCATGGTGATTTTTATGCTGATGGAGCCACTTCCTGAGAGGAGGGAAGGTGGACGTCCTCAGAAAACCATGACGACTCAATGGCGGGAAGCTATCCTTGGGATCACAATGGATGGTGGACAGAACCGTCGTTGTTTAATGTGAACACTGGAACTAAAATTTGATCAGTCTATGATAGGTCTTAGGCTTGTGAAAATATTTGCAAAACGCAGCTTTATGCAAAAGAACCTGAAACCATTCCTTGAATACCCTCTATCATATGCATTGTTGTTGTGGTGGCTTGCTGAGTACGGTTGGTACTCACCCTTGCTATTTATATATCTTTTAGGAGAGTGTTGAAGAGAAGCCCTTGTCGGTACGCTTGCGTATCCCACAAGATGATCGGAGTGCGGTCTTGTGCTAGGTCTCGTTCCCCAGTCGACTGCCTATGGCATGTTAACCAGACCCTTATATTATTTTGTCTTCTGCTGTTGTTCTCTGATAGTTGTTGGCCTACCTGGCCCTAATGTAAGTATTTAACTCTTTTAGCCTAAATTCATTCGTGATATGTTGTGATCCAACTATGTATGTGTGTACCAACTACTGATCCAGGGATTGGTATGGATAAACACAGAAGATTTCCGATTTCCAAAATCGGGGGTCTACACATAATATAGCGAAAATAAGTCTATTTTCCGTCCCTCCACTTTGGGCTATGAATTATATATAGTGAAAATAAGTCTATTTTTCATCCCTCCTCTTTGGGCTGACATATATATGTAAAATAAGTCTATTTTACATCCCTATTCTTTCGACCGTGGCATATAATATGTCTATTTTTACTCCCTATTGTTTATGTGTCGGGCCTGGCATGCGGCCCATCGTGCTGTGCCGGCCCAACGTGCCGGTGGAGAGGCCTAGGCACGGCCCGGTGGTCGGGCTAGGCCGGCACGGGCCCGACCCTTGACGGGCCGTGTCGTGCTTGGGCCGGGCCAAAATGCCGTGCCGTGGGCCGGGCCGTCGGGCCTTGGGCCTTTTGGCCATCTATAACACCAATGACTCTATCTTCATCCGCATGCGTGCCGTTCCACTTGGAGGAGCACCACGGCTCGTCCCTTGCTCGCCCACCGTGGCCGACAAATGTGGAGGTGGTGTCGGGGAGGTTGGGAGGTGCAGGATGCATGCACGCCACTTCCGCTCGGAGGAGCGACACCGCTTGTTCCTCGCGTGCTCGCCGTGACTGACAAGTCATGACAGCATACACCACGACCACACTCGTCCGTCATAGCAGGCGTGCGAGGGATGAATGTCGGCGCTCCTCTAGAACGAAAACGACATGCGGGCTTAGAGAAAGGGAAGGAATAAAATGGGAGAGATAGAGAGATGATGGAGACTTGCTGGTAGGTCCCACCCTATTTCCGACGCCACGCTGTTGCCACATCAGATAATGACCCGATCAACATGCCACGTAGGACGAAAATCGCCATTCAAACCGTTCGAGGAGGTAAATTGATCCGGTATTTATAGTTGAGGGATCACTAGTACAGAAAACCCTATAGGTGCCGGTTAGGAACTGGCTCCATTGGTCGGCACCTTTGCCTCATTTTTATTGCTGCCGGTTCTAAAACCGGTACCTATACTATTAAAAAAATAAAAAATTGATGGCGCCTACAGTGCCACCGGCCTTCTCCACCGCCGCCACCACCACCTCGCCTGGCCGGCCTCCACGCCACCACCTAGCCATGCCTGCCTCCATGCCAGCGGCCGCCACCCAACACCGCGCTGGAGGAGGGGGGGCCCGGGGAGAGAGGGTGTCGGTGAGATCCAGCAACCGCGCCGCAACCTCGCCGTGTCGGTCGCCACACCACGTCGTGCTAGAGGAGGAGAAGGGAAGCGGGGCGAGGTCCCTCGGGAGAAAGGTGGCCGCTGTCACTGCCACCTCGCCACGCCTGCCTCGGCGCCGGCCTCCACCTCACCCGCGCTGCCACGAGGAGAGGAAGGCGAGAGGGGCGAGGCTCCTCTAACCATCAGCCGCCGTGCCGGCCAGCCTTTGCCACCACCGTTGTCGCCGCTACCTCGCCGCGCCATCCTCGGCGCCGGCCTCCACCTCACCCACGCCGCCACGAGGAGAGGAAGGCGAGAGGGGCGAGGCTCCTCCAGTCGTCAGCAACCGCGCTGGCCAGCCTACTCCACCACCGCCGTTGTCGCCGCCACCTTGCCGCACCAGCCTCGGCGCCGGACTCCACCTCACCTGCGCCGCCGCGAGGAGAGGAAGGCGAGAGGGGCGACTAGCGAGGCTACACCGCCGCACCGTAGAGCCTCCCTGGAGGAGAGGAGGGGCGAGAGAGAGAGAGAGATGGCGTTGTGTGGCAGTGTGGGATGGATGGATAAGATAAAGGATGTCGTGTGGATGGCGCTGTGGGTGGTCAAAAAAGCCGGCTTGGTTTTTTTCAAAGGTGTCAGTTCCGTTGAAAAACCGACACCTATACTATAGGTGTCAATTTTTTTAATAGAACCGATACCTATATTTGTATTACAGGTGTCAGTTCTGTTGGCAACTTTTTGTAACAAGTTGACAAGCACGATCGCAGCACCTTAAGCTTTGCGGTGATCCTAGAGTCACCAACGACCTCAATCTAGCCAAACGGCCAAACCAAGATGGGTTTTCATAACTAAACCGGCTAGCGGAGCCGATTTGAGATAACTACCCGTATCGTGGGCAAAACGGAAGGTTTTTAGGACAAACCTACAAAGAGGTGTTGCACTCTTACAGTGACGGTGCAAATCGACAAAGATGGACTAAACTAGGGTAAAATAGAAAACATAACTGAAAAGTAAAGAAAAAACGATTCAAGTAGATTGTATTAGGGGGATTACAATGAACCGGCCTTGTCCCTTAAATAGGGGTTGGTCTTGCCCTCTACAGGCCCTTCTCCACGTCCAACTCGGAATAGAAACGAAAGGAAACACGAAACATAGCCTTCCCGAGCAAGGAAACCCGAGACCCGACGAAAACAGACCCGGATTCGGACCCTGACGGTCTGACCGCGCACATACCTGCGGTCAGACTAGCCCTACTAGCCGGTCAGACCGCACACATACCTGCGGTCTGACCGGCCCTGTGAAGGAAACCCGACACTTTCCAAACTTTGACAATTTTCCCCTATTTCATCCATAGGTGCCAAATTTGGGTGTAAACATGTTCTAAATAAAAACCGACACCTATCGTATAGGTGCCGGTTTTTTAATAGAACCGACACCTATAGTATTTAAAGGTGCGGGTTCTATTTTTTTATCGTGCGGAGGTGGGAAAATGTCTATAGGTGTCGGTTTTAAATGAACTTCTATAAGACCGGTCCCTATGAGGGTTTTTTAAGTAGTGGATGCGATTTAACCAAAGGCAATAGTTTAAGAAAGCAAAATAAACTTATTCGGGCTCAAAATTTACGCGTATTACACAAGGCTCGTGTTTGGGCCAAGCCCACGAAGCCAATGCAAACATACCAATTCCGGATTGAATTGCCACGTAAGCGCCACGTCAGTGCCACGTCAGATGAAGACAGATTCAAATTAGCCACGTAGGCACTACGTCAGCTAAAACCACCCTCGAAACCTCCAAGGAACCTTATATGTATCGGTTTTGATAGTTGAGGGACCGGTTGTACCTGGTTTAAGGAAAATTGGATTCGTTGACAAGTTAAAGAGAACTTAGATGGACTTATTCCACACCAAAATACCACATCACTCCCCAGTCCTCGTTGCCCTCTTGCCGAGCCGTCCTCCGCCATGCTCCGTACTCCATCTCCGATCGGCGACCCGCCCTGAGCCGGCGGAGCCGCTCGACGTTAGGGCCCCACCTCACCAGGCGACGGCGTGGGCATCCTCGATTCTCAGGGGTGTGGCGGCGTCGGCGGCGGCGCAACGGTGGGCGCCGTCCATCCCTCCCAGCCGGCTCGGCCTGGTGACCGGTGAGCTCTCTGGAACCCGTCACATGAAGTTTCTTTTCGTCAGTTTCTATTGGGCCATCGATGATCGATCTGGTGAATCTGTGATCCTTTGCCGTGTCGGGCTTCAGATTCTACGGTCTGCATACCTTTGCCCTTTTGTATTAGAGTATAAGTTGGAAAACTGATAACTGGCCACACAGTTGAGGTGATTCCAAACACCAACTTCGTCATAACCTTCGAGGCAAATAGTTTCTTGTTGATGGCAAACGATCAATGTGTAGCAAATGATCCGATTTTTTATTATTCCATGGTCTCGAACTGAAAAAAAAAAGTAGTTCGATTTTACTTGACTAAATTGCTGTTCACGTTGGGCTGGTTCTATGCACATACTCTCTGCTCCTGACACTAAATGTCGATTTCTTGTAGGATTCAGAGATGACGGCGAGATGCAAATTTGTCAGGCAATGTGATTAAGTAGATATGCATCCTGGTTGGTCACAAGGTGTTATGCTCACGCCTCGATATGGTTCTTGCGTAGCCACAGAAAGGAGCAGCTACTATGTGCTTACTCCAGCCACTGGAGTTGTATACAACTTGCCTGTGAATCCAGCAGAGGAGCATGTGTACCATGTCCAGTTGATCACCTGCACAGACCTTACCCTCATTTGCATTTGGGCATGTTGCTTCCATGGGAGAGTACAAGGTGATCCATATTTACAGACCTAGAGCTACATCAGCTCTGTGAGTTCATTACTGTCAAGTGTGGCACTCACCATGCAGACCTATGTTGAAACACAGGCAAACATCAATGTTATCTCTTATTGGGTGGTGTACTTGATGGATATTGGATTGTGTATATGAGCTATGATAATATGTGGTGTAGGTACCTTCATCCATCAGTATTTCATCTGTTGTTTCAATCTTGGGATGGAGCAAGAAACGGGATGTCCAGGGACCAATTAGCAGCATTTTATTTTATTTTATCTTTTTGAGAAAGCGATTTTCCTGAGGAGTATATGTCAATTGGCATCAACAGTTTCACTGAACTGAAAGGCTACTTAGTTTTAGTATACCACCAGCATTACTGTTGAACCATGGATTAAAGAGTATACATTCAGTCTGGATCATTCATCCCTGTTATTGAGTAGGATATAAAGCCAATAAGCCATTGTTGGCGTTAGATGATGGGAGGATATTCTTCTGTCTAGGATGGACTGGATTGCTAAGCATACCTGATGAGACATTTTGCACTTTTCCAAGAACCAGCACTTTGCAGAAGTGGAGATGAGACATCTTGCTGGAAATAGCACACAGCAAAACAGATGACTTTACAAAATGGTGATGTAGTGCAGTATTGCAATGTATTGCTACTCCCTTCAGTTTGCAGTTGATGAAATTTGCAAGAACCATCCATTGCTTTTGGAATTGATCGTTGGGCAGAATCATAAATTTTGGCTGTGATTCTTTTCTACTGTTGAATTGAAGCCTGCAAAGATGTCTTCGATTCTTGAAGATGATAGTTTTTTTTCTCTTTCATTTTGTACTATCTTCTGAGATTGTAATATAAGGTGTACTTGTCAGCATATATCATAGTATCTGACATAATTTAGGGCTGCTGCAACTTTGTTTTGCAGTAAAAAGGTGACAGATTGCCAGTGCCACTTGTGTTGTAGGTGAAATTCGCTGTGCATGTAAAAGGATGCGGTTTGAATGCTTATCATATAATCTCTGTTACTGTTATCTAGATATAATGCACAAGCTCTTTGAGCTCATATATTATTCAATGAGGGTTGAAATGCTCTTGTGTATTGTGATGAATGATGAGGAGCCTTTTGTTGTATTTGTATGTCAGTCTCAGTCAACAACTCTGTAACAAGGCTGCATGCCTATATGCATTGCTCAGCCCGCCGTCAATTCTTGAAAATGAATGCTGAATAAACCTGAAGGATCCAAACATGGAGAGTTACTTATATTCAAGTCAAACAGCAACCTGTTGTGCTACCAGGACACTGATTTGATAATCTGATTGTTTTACTTCAGAAGATAATCAACAGAAAAAGGGGAAAAAGAGTTACAGTATCAGAATAATGTTACATTGAATTCAATGAGCAAGCCCAGGGTAATGTTACTTGCATTGAATTCAACAAATCAGCAGTAATGTCAACTGAACCACATGTTTTGCATACATTTAATTACATTCAATTGAACCAATCAAGAATAATCTCAGATTTGCATAATAAGATAAGTACACTTTGTCAATAATTACAACCCATCAGAGCACAGAACTCATAAACACCTCAATTCTGAGCTACCGAGTATCATTAAATCTATTTCTACCAAGGCGGACAAAGCTTTTCATAATACAGTTTGTCCATAAATACAAGCATCAGAGCACATCTCGCTTCTGATCTACAGATATTATCATCAACTAAATCTCTTCCTACAAAGGACTAAGCTAATCAGCCTACAGATCAAACTGAATTCTCTACATAATAACATCAGCAAATCTCTCTCTTGCTTCAGGAGGCTAATCAGCCGGCGGATCAAAGTCTAAGAGGTCGTCCATGGAGAACTCCATATCCAAGCAGCTCGGGTCGGCCATTGTGAAGTTGATGCTGTTTAGAACCTCATCAATGGTCTCTGGGAACTCGAAATCAGACAATGCCGGCGCCTCACTGTCGATGATGCCCTGTGAGGAGTATTTTTGGTTGTCCAGCGACGGCGCAGGCGCTGCACTACAAGCATCGGCTTCTGCTTCCTCTGCTGGTAGGGTAATCAGGTCTTCAAGGTGACTAAACACCATGGAAGAATCATCCATCACGTTGGAAGAGCACTGATCTGCGCCGTCAGCATCACCGGCAACATCGAGCAGAGGGTACTCTGGGAACTCGAAATCAGACAAGGAGTAGTTCTGATAGTCTAGTGACATAGTCCCAGCCGGCGCATCAGGACGATCAGCTTCTTCTTCTTCTGGCAGGACGATCGGGTCTGACAGATGAGTAAACACCGCAGAAGAATCATGCATCACAACGGAGCATCCCTGATCAGGGCCTTCAGAGCTATCGGCAACTTCAACCAGAGCAGCCAGAGGAGGAACAAGCACTGGCTGTGGCTGCGGAACGAACTCCTCGAGCAGATCAGACTCTATTCCAGTGCTCTGGGGCTCATGGAGGTCGCCCATGGAGAGCTCAATGTCCAAGCAGCTGGGGTCAGTTGTGGTGAAGTCGATGCAGTTAGGCAACTCATCCATGTTGATCTCTGGGAACTCAAAATCAGCCCAGGAGTAGTCCATCGACGCCAGCGCTGCACCACCGGCGGCATCACCTTCTTCTGCGGGCAGGGTGATCATGTCCGGAAGATGACTGAACACCATTGTGGAATCGTCCATCACGCCGGAGCATCCCTGATTGGCACAGTCAGCATCATCGACAGCGTCCACCAGCGCTGCGGGAGGGGAAATCGACACGGTCTGTGGCGGTGGAACGACCTCGTCGAGCAGAGCAACCCCTGTTCCGGTGATCTGGGGCGCGGTCTGTGGCGGCAGGACGCACTCCTCGAGTAGAGCAGACTCTGTTCCAGCGCTCTGTGGCGCGGCTCGTCCTCGAACGTCCTCAGTGCCGACGTCCAGGGCATCCTCTGTTCCGGCGATAGGAGGGATGGGAACGGGCTGTGGCGGCGGGATGCGCTCCTCGACCAGGGCATCCTCTGTTCCGACGCTCTGGGGCGCCGGCTGTGGCGGCATGACGCGCTCCTCGAGCAGAGCAGTCTCTGTTCCAGCGCTCTGTGGCGCCGCGCGTGCTCGACCGACACCGTCCTCGCCGGATTGTGGCTCTCTCTTGCGCTTCTTGCCGTGGCCGCTGAACCGGACGCGGTAGAGCCGGATCGGCGACGCGGCGAGCTCGGCGGGGGACGTGACGGCGTACTCATGCATCACCCAGCCGGAGCTCCCCCTCTCGCCCTCGGCGAAGAAGCTCAGCAAGTACTTGCGCCACACGATCTCCACCTCCACGCCGCCGCCATCGGGGACGAGCAGCTTCTCGCCGTCGGCGCAGACCCTTTGCCCCTGCCAGAGCCCACTACCCTCGACGGTGCGCTTCTGGCGGCTCCCCTTGCCGTTCTTGGCCCGAGCCTCGGCGAAGAAGAAGCCCTCGTCGCCCCGGCCGTGCTCCGCCAGCAGCTTCCATGGCGGCACGCTGAGGGGGTCGGCCTCGAGGATGACGCCATTGAGCGGGAGGGGCTTACCCTGGAGGCGCCGGAGCAGGAATCGGGAGACGAGCTCGCCGTCGGTCGGATCGAACCTGAGGCCCGGAGGGAGCCCATCAGCGCCACCACCACCCGCCGCCATCGCGATCTTGATTTCTAGGGTTTCTAGGGTTTTGGGGAAGAGGAGGCGGGAGAGGGTGAGAATTGAAGCGTGGGGGGATGAGAAAGCCGTTTCTTGATTTGAATTTATCCAGTGGGGGAGCCCAATGTCGGTGCGATACGGCTACCGCGCGCGATCGGCTCAGATCGCTGGTGGGTGTGTTTTTTTTTGTGTGGATATTTTTCGCTTTTTTTTTTTTTTGGGGGGGGGGGGGAAGGTTTGATAAACCAAATCCTAGCAATTTATTTGGAACCTATTTTGAATAGAAATTTGAACAATTGCTCAGGTCCTCAGGTTATATATCTCATTGTGACAAAGAAAACGTTGTTTACAGATTCTGAACATCTGAAGGATTTTACTAGCGAGGTACTTACATCCAATTCAAACATGGGTACTTCTGAAGTGAGAGGGGGTTGGGGGGGGGGGGCAGAGTTGTGTGGTAATTTATCAGATTCACATCAATCTATCTCTTGAGTAATGGGTCTGAATTCCTGATGTTTAGTGTGTGTTCATCCAGAAGGGGGAAGTCTTCTGCTGTTCTACCCTTCTCTGATCTCTGAATCCTTTCTTATTCTGATGATCAGGTTATGAACATAATTGCGCTGAAAATTATGAGAACCTGCAATATCTGCTACTAATGGTGTTCCCTGATCCGCAGTTGCACAAACTTCACAAGATAATCAAATTAAAAAAGGAAAAAAAGAGGACAGAGTTTCATTATCAACAAAAGTACTGTGTCGTGGTTAATTGATGGCAAAAAAAATAGTTTTAGGAAATTTGTGGTTATTGCACATATACAGTCCAATACTCCACGTCACATGCACCCTGAAAGTCTGAAGATTAAATGCAACTCTTTTATTCATTTTGCTAACTGCACTCTGTTGTGCTTTAGTGCAGGCTATGAATCAGTTTGGTGAGAATTGTGATATTCCACGCAGAAAAGGACTGGCAGTTAGTAGCAGTGTAGCACAAAGCCACATACTTTAACCTGTACAGTTCATGTGACATGTACTCTGTCAAAAAAAAAAAAAGAGAGAGACAAGAATCAATTTTGGAGAGAAGTTTTTGAAGCAGGACATGAATAGTGCATGGCTATTTATATTGCCGTGCATGAATAGTAGTATTGGTCAAATTGATCACAGGATAGCCATTTTATCTGTTTGTTACAACTGATACAATATTATAAACTATATACGAGATAAGATTCAATTTGTTTTGCACCCTCCTTCAATCTCAGATGTGGGGAGCATATTAAAGTTGCCTTTAAAGCCTCTAAATTTTTGGATGATGGGGATTTCATTAAGCAAATGAAAGAAAAGCTTCTGATTGAAAGGGTCTTTGCCAACATATCTGAAAAAAATGGATCCTGAGTGGAAATGAATCAAACATCCTGCATCTTCCATACAAACCCACTACAGTGACAATGGTCTTGACTGAAAAACCACAAGCTCTGTTAGCAAGAACTTTTTCTTTTTTACCAAGGGCAAGAATACCCCCATTTCTTTTTTTAGAAATGATCACACATACAGAGTCTGGAAATAAAAGAGAAGGCAGTCCATCAGGTCTAGGACTGAACTGAGATAACAGGAACTATGCCTATTACAAAAGCACTGCAGGTTAACATACATCGCTGGACTGAAGAGCAAACAACATAAACTGAGAAAGATTCAGCAGATCATCCCTCAATTCTTCTGGCACAAGCCCTCCATCCATGTCTTGAGCTGTAGATTTCATTTGCTACCTGCCTTATGAGCCTAGCCCCCAATTGCAGTCTTCTTTGACTTGCTCCAGATTTCTTTGACCAAATCAGTGGGATCTTGTGGATACCTTTTCTCAAAGCATGCTTTATTTCGAGTTTTCTAAATGGCCCAAATAACAGCAGCCATTCCCACCGCAATCAACAACACAGTCTATTGTAAAGAAAAGGACACCAGCGATGACAACCAAACAGAAGGTAAAAAAAAAAAAGAAACATATTTACACTATCAACAACTGTATTCTGTCGTTTTTAACTAGAGGCTAATGAACTAGGTTGTGATAAAATAGGATTTTCGAATAAATAGAGTTAGTACTCAATAAGAAATTTTGTTAGGGAATCCATTGTATAGCCTGCTCTTGTATATTTTATTTATCGAAGTAGAAGATCTCTTGCACCTTTCTTTCGCAAAAAAAAGACTGGGACAGGGTAGAGAAGTCCCTTTATTTTAACAGAATGATTTTACTATGAAATTATAGTCTCTGTTCTGAATTTATTTTGTGAACAGAAGCTCACGCAATCTGACCGAAAGAATTTCCCTTTTCTAAAGCTTGTTTGTACCACTCTCTTCACTGCAAGGCTGTGGATGTAACAACTCCTGATGGAAGAGATGCGCATTCTGCATTAAGTGATGTTGGGTTCAGAACGTGCATCCTCC